TGTCTGCACTCTATGATTGAAACTGATTGACTAAAGGATGTACAAACACAAGAGATGGGTGTGAATGCCAGATGTGGTGTGTGTGTGTGTGTGTAGGAGTGTGGCCTGGGGAAGGACATTTGGAAGAGGGATACAGAGGCAGAGCATTGACGGGACAAGGAGATGTGATGTTATCTGTTGACGATATTTTGATCAACTGGACTGGAGAGAAATGTTCACATATTGACATGTTCACTTTGTAACCTAAATAATGTGATTGAATGTATAAAAATAATTTTAAAAAAAAGCTGGGGGGAGGTAGTATTGCATTGTCAAGACCTTGTTAGAAGTTCTCTCTCTCTCTCTTACTGACGGAAGAAATAAATAAATAAACATTGAAAAAAATGTCTGTGAACATTATATATAGAAGAACTTGATGAAATGTTTTGCTGCACATAAGAATAGTAAAACAAAATGTTTAAGAAATGTTTATGATTATAAGTGTGTAATTTCTAAGATGCAATAAAAATAAGGCTAACATTTATATGCAGAATTAATAATTCAAAATCATGGGACCAGCAGTTAGCATAATGGCTATGTTGCTGGACTCCCATGTAGTCGACCAAGGTTCAAGACCCGGACCCAGTGGCTTAAATTCACGCTGGGTGCGTGTGCGTGCATGCCCAAGATCCCAAGAGGAGAATGGAGGAGAAGGGACTGTGGCGTGGCCATCCCCCCTGGGGGGTGATTTCATGCTTTCTGTCTCTCTGTCTTTCTGGCGAGTGCACGCACCCTATAGCAAAAATCTCTCCAAAAATAAAATAAAATAAAATAATTTGCTATAGGGCAGGTGTGCTCAGCATAGACAGAAAGAGAGAGAGAGAGAGAGAGAGAGAGAGAGAGAGAGAGAGAAAGCAAACTATCAGGTCCAGGACTCAAACTGCAGTCACTCATGAGGGAGTTCAATGCTTGAACACCACACCACCTGCTGGCCTTATGCATTATGGCTTTAGTGGTGAGTTCTACCAAACATTAAATGAGAAATTATAGTACTTATTCTACATCAACTCTTCCAAAGACAGAACAGAGGAGAACATACTTGAAACTATTCTGTTGGCCTTGCAATTCTATAATACATATTATACTATCTTTCCTATACAGTCATTAAAATATTCTGTGTAGAAACTGTGAACACAGAGTTTTTTTGGTTTTGTTTTTAGATTTTTGCCATTGAGTACATGCACTCACCAGAGGGAGCTAAAAGAGGGAAAGTGAGAAATCCCCCCCAGGGGGGATTCCTGTGCTGCAATTTACATGTTTTTTGTTTTGTTTTGTTTTGTTTGTTTGTTTGTTTGAGAGGGAAGGTATCCCAGTCCAGCAATCCCTTGTCCTACATTTTCCTCTCTGTATTTTGGGGACTCACACACACATACACACACACACACACACACACAACCAATGTGATTTTCAAGCCTCTGGGTCCAGGGCTCAAATCGCTGTTGGCCATATGGGAGTATAGCATCTTAACCTCCACACCACCTGCTGACCCCACAGATGGTTTTATTATGACCTTGTGAATAGAGGGAACTTCTTAAAATTTGATTGTAGCCCAGTTGTGAGATATAAGAACAATGTACAAAAGTTTATTGTATAGTTTGTATTATCACAGTAGAAATTGCATTTTTAATATTTCACTTATAATAGCAAGAAAAATATAAAGTACTTAAGGATCAGGACGACAACATAAGGTCAAGACATTTTACACTGAAAACTAAAACTTTTGCTTATAGAATACAAACACCTTGATAAATAGAAATAAATACTATGTCTATGGACCAGGAAAATCATATTAATAAGATGAGAATTCTCCCTAAATTAATCTCTAGATTCACATAATTTAAAATAAAATATAAAATTTTTAATAGAATTTTTCAAATCAGTTCTAACAGTCACATGGAAATGCAAAGCATGTGCATTAGTTCCTATAACCTCAAAAAGAACAAGCCTGGAGAATTTTCTCTTATTTCAAGCTACCTGTGTTCAAAATGGTTTAGTGTTTTCATAAAGGTACACACAAAAACTTGATTTTCCAAAACATGGTCATATATGATCAAATAGTTTTTAATATAGGTCTACGGAGAAACAGTTTCTCTTGAATCTTCTTCGTCTCCCATTCCCCAACAGCCTATTGCAGCAATGTTAGTCCCTGGCAATAATAACCTGGTACCTGTTATGATCCTGCAGTTCATTGTTTTTATTGATCTAGCCACTCTTCCTTTCATTGGCTTTCTCTTTTCTTTCCTTTCTTTTTTTTTTTTTTTTTTTAAAGAAATTTCTGCCTTAGAGCATGTTTGTTGCTGGAGAGAGAGAGAAACAGATAAAGTGAGACAGAACGTGAGAAATCACCCTCCAGGGCTGTGATTTCACTCCACATGGCAATCCCTTCTTCTCCATTCTCTTCCTGGGATCTTGGGCACGCATGCACACACACCCAGTGTGAGCTTGAAGCCACCATGTCCAGGAATCAAACGTGATTGGCCATGTGGGAGTCTATCAACCCAATTGCTACACTATCTACTGGCCCCGAACTGGTCCATATTTGGACTGAAAATGCCTGTTTTTGTTTCTCTTTGTACTTCTTCATCTCAGATTTTCCCAAGACCTAATCTAGCCACACTACAGACTACGGTATTCCCTTATATTCTTCAGAGAAGAATTGCACAGAGCAGGCAGCTTCGTGAACCTCTGTGTCACCATAGTATTTTGAGGTCTCCAGAACAGTGCCTGAGCCAGGTTAATCCAAAGTGGAAAGTAAATACACAGAGGCACCTGAGATGCAACTGTGGAAAGCAGCTCAGCAGCATTTGGCCAGGATCTTTACAGAAACGTCTTTGGGGATAGAATTTTTTTTTTGGAGAGATTTTCACTGTAGGGTGCGTGCGCTCGCCAGACAGACAGAGAGAGACATAGAGACAGAAAGCGAGAAATCACCCCCCAGGGGGGATGGTCACGCCGCAATCCCTTCTCCTCCATTCTCCTCTCGGGATCTTGGGCACGCACGCACACGCGCCTGGCGTGAGTTTTAAGCCACCGGGTCCGGGAC